TCTGTTATCAGCTAAAGATTGGTTAGCACTTGTGAGAGAGGCCTATAGGAAGCCTGTTTCAAGTCTCACCAGGGGAGGCCTGTGGAAAGCCTGCCTCAAGTCTTAACTCCCACAAGATGGAAGGCCTGAACTCTCACAGCAGGCCCCTGCTCAAGTAGGTGGGCTTTGTATGGGTATCTCTCACGTGCAGCTTGCCATAAACACTTGGGCCTGGAAATTTGAGGGCGAAAAAACCACATTATAACAATACAAGGCCCTTTAAAGCATTTTGTATGTAATTTGAAGCCATTGTTAGGGACCAAAATGCTTGGTAGTGAGACTTTTGTGGGCCTGCATACTCTCAAGAACTGGTTCTTAAACTGTGAGTGCAGACCCCAAATGGGGTTCTCTTAGCTTTGTGTTAGAGAAAATAATTGGCAACAGTGAAAGGTTTCTGAACACTACCCAGTTAAACTAATCTGTTAGCAACACCAGAGACACTCCAAGTGGCCAGCTACTGGTCAAAGGACATATAGTACAAAGCAATTTTTTAAAAAAACTTTGTGTTTTTAAAATACACTAGCCATCCCCTGCCACAAGTTGCTGTGGCCCAGTCTGTGTATATCTGTTTTGTGTGTGTATATATATATGTGTGTATATGTGTATATAGATGTTTTTGAACTGTGGTGCTGGAGGAAAGTTCTGAGAGGGCCTTGGACAGCGAGAAGATCCAACCAGTCCATACTTCAGGAAATAAAGCCCGACTGCTCATTGGAGGGAAGGATAGTAGAGGCCAAGATGAAGTTCTTTGGCCACATCATGAGAAGAAAGGAAAGCTTAGAGAAGACAATGATGCTGGGGAAAATGGAAGGAAAAAGGAAGAGTGGCCGACCAAGGGCAAGATGGATAGATGGGATCCTTGAAGTGACTGGATTGATCTTGAAGGAGCTGGGGATGGTGACGGCTGACAGGGAGCTCTGGCGTGGGCTGGTCCATGAGGTTATGAAGAGTCGGAAATGACTGAACGATTGAACAACAACAATGTGTATGAGTTGTAACGTATTTTTTTTATTTTTTGCCTTTTTAAGTCTCTTCTGCGTTTTTCAGTGTTTTTATGAGTGATGGCCATTTGTTGGCCTGATAGTTGTATTGTGTCCAAATTTGATGTCAATTCGTCCAGTAGTTTTTGAGTTATGTTAGTCCCACAAATGAACATTACATTTTTATTTATATAGATTACAACAGTACTCTCAGTTTGCTTCTGATATGATAAATAAATAAATAGCAATGAGGTGAAGTGTTTACAGTCGACACTGCAGAAAATGCTTCAGCTGTACTCCACCAAAGGAAAACTGCTTTGTTTAGCAAGCCTTGCAAATGCTGATTAATTTTCAGTATATGTTTGTTTTTTAATACTTTTTTAAATATACCTGAGATCATGTTCAAATTTAGGGGTCACAGATGAAAAAAAATTAAGAAGCCCTGCTCTAAATCATCACATCCCATTTGATCTTGGAAGCTAAGCAGGGCCAGCCCTGGATAGTACTGGGATGTGAAACTGTAAGCTACATTCCAGAGGAAAGAACTTGAAAACCCACATAGGACTTCCGTAAGTTAGCAGGCAACTTAAAAGGTGCATATTTACACACACAAGTCTATTGTGAACCTGGCTGGTGCCTATTTTAATTCTGAGTGAATCAAAAGAAAAGAAGAGGGGGAATTTGGGGGGTTATTGTGGCCCAAAGACAAAAAAAATGCCTCTTGCAACACAGTCTGCTCTTCAGATCTGCTGCTACCACCTTCCCCATTTTGCTTGTATAGGTCATTGGTATTTAAATCAGCTTTTGTACTAATCTCAGAATTGCTCTCAATGAAGAAGGCAAAATCTGGTTAAGGCATAGCTGAGGTGTGAAATGAGATAAAAGCATATTATTCCAACTTGAGCTAACTTTTACTTTACTTTATCAGAAAACATTAATAATTGCAAGTGAAAACTATTTTGAAACTTCATGAAAAACAACAGCAGCAGACACAAAAAAGACTGCAGTAACAACAGATGAATCATTTAACTGGATCAGGACAGGGACCAATAGATATCTTTGGGAATTTAAAAAAATGGCTGGACATCATATGTGCTGAGGATCCTAAATACCCTTAAAACACTAGAGCCTGACAGATTTTGGAAGTTAAGTTGGGTCAGTTGTGGTTAGTATTTGGATGGAGGATTCCCAATGAGTACCAGGTGCTGTAGACTGTAGACAAAATCACCTCCTTAAGTATTCTTTACCTATGAAACATTAACGGGGGTCACCATAAAACTATAGGTGTCCTGAAGGTGCACATACATACTATCTGGAGAGGTGGCAGGTTCAATTCAGTGCTCATTAATATTCATTTATAGACTGGTCTTCTATGCCCCCCCCCCCATCATATTTTTATGCTATCAAAGCTAGTGGCCATCCTTTGAGATGGCCTTTGAGATCATATACCATTAATTAGTAATGTATCGTGTATACAAGGGCTTTGCTTTGACCTGAATCTATTGCCAGTCACTTTTATTGTTTGACTCCAGATTCTTATGTTACGGAACAGGAAGGAACTTCTCCACAATGTCCAAAATTTTATAAACCATTTCTCCCACCCCCGTGCATCATCACATTAAGCCTTTTTATGAGCCCAAAGTCCCAAATGCTTTATTTCTAGCCATCTCTAATAAAGATGAAGCTCCAACCTGTGAATAATTGTGGTGCTATTTCTCCACCTTTTCTGGGCCTATCATTAATTATTATTTATTTAATGAGGTGACAAAACCTGCATGTAGTGTTCCAGATGTGACTGCGTTGTGGTTTAATATTAGCTTTGTAGCTGAACTAAAGAATTTATATTTTTTAATTGTCAGATTTTAATTGATTAACCTTTCATCAAATTTATAGACATCTTCATATTTATCTAAATAAGAATTTGAATATGTGTAGAGAGAGAGAGAGAGATTGAGAGATCCCATTAATATTGCATTTCTTACACTGAAGTCCTTCAGCAAAGGCAAAATCCTAGGTGTAGTCTCCTCTGCATGACTCATTGTTTTCAAGAGGTTCGAGAGTTCATCCTTGGCAAATAATCTTTTATTTTTGTATTTATAACCATTTTTCCATTGGGCCACACATAAGTTTGTATTCCGTCCAGAGCTTCCTTCCTTCTCTGAAGAAACATTAGTATTTTAACCTCAGAATGGCAATGCAGACTAATTTTATTCCAAACAGATATTTTTATTTTTATTTTTTTTCTGTGTCTTTAACATAGGCTTAATTTGTAGGTGTTAACAGATAGGTAATGTTCCTCTTTCTCACCTGAAAAATATCTCTTGAGTTTTACAAGTTGGAAAGCTACTGAAAGCACATAGCAGGCCAAACCAGTTTATTTGTGATTAGTTTATTTCTGATCAGTTGGTTTGGCAGTGAGGTGGCTAGCCCATCGAATATCCCTATTAAAATTTCTCATTGCCCAAAGTATTAGATATATACATTCAGATATAGCCCTGAATTTCATGGCTGTGTTCAATTGCCCTACCTGTCCAGGGTGATCATCAAGTTGCACAGTGTCAATGCTGCTCCTGGCAGCTTCTCAAAGAAAGTTGGACAAAGGGATGTGTATGTGGGTCATTTTTCAATTATGTGTTGTGTTTCTTCATGTTATTTCTGATTTATGACTATCCTAAGGTGAACCAAAAGTTGTCTTGGCAAGATATGTTCATAAGGGATTTGCCATTGCCTTCAGAGTCCAGGAGTTTTGATCTGTTAATGGGCTCTTAGTGGGTTTCCGTGACTGAGGGGATTTTCCACTGGCCTAGATTTTTCCTTTACACCTATGCTTAATTTCCACTATACTATGTTGTCTGTCTGAGTTTATCTCTGTGTGTGGATGCCACTTCAAGTAGCCTGTTGACTTTTGATGTCCCTATGATTTCATAGTGGGAAGGAGAGCTCAAAGGTGGTTTGCCATTTACTTCCTATGAAATATACCCTGCACCATCTGGTATTGTTTAGTGGTCCCCCATCCAAGTACTAACCAGTTTAAGTCCAGCAGATTATCTGTACTTTTAAAAAAAATGTGTCAGAAGCATCTTGAGAACATACTGCAGTCACTTCTGGTGTGAGAGAATTAGCCATCTACAGATGTTGCCCAGAGGACACCTGGATGTGTCACCATCTTGCTTGGAGGCTTCTCTCATGTCCCCGCAAGCTAAAGCACAATTTAATCTATTCTAATTTAATGCTGCCTTAACTGCCCAAAATACTCTTAACTGATTTTAGACAGGTTTATCTTGTTTATAGTATTTTGTGATATTTATGGTATTCCAATACTGATAGCTCTCTTTGAGGTTTTTTATGTATAGAAATAAAAATGATCAAGCAACTTTGAAAGCCCATTACAGAATACATTTTAAGGAATACATATAGCTGTCTTTCATGTGGCTTATGATTTCTTGTTTAAATCGTTTTCCCTCCCCTGCCAATTCCCAATTTTTTAATATTAAATATGCTATTGTAATTTTACTGATTGTAATCTTATAAATTGTCAATAGGTGGTGATGTAATGCGGTTTACAAAGGGAAACCTCTACTATGGGTGTTTAAGAGGGGTTGTCAAGCAAAATAAATCTGGTTCAAGTTGGTTTACAAAACTGCAAATGGATATTCTAATCTCCCCCCCAGACATCCACCAGTTACCAAGGATTAATATTGCTAGCCGTTTTAGAAACACAAAAAACCTTCAAGTTTCTAACATTGTTCTTGGAACATAAGAGTAAGGTGCTCAAGCAACCGTCCAGGTTTTGATGGTTTGCAGGTCACAGACAAGCATAATCAATGCTGAAGAAACAGGCAACATCTGGATCCACCCAGTTTGCCACTTCTCCATTAAAATGTATTACTTTTACAAGCTAAATTTGAAAATTAAATTGTTCTAATAATTTCAAATTCTCAAATTTTCTGCAATTAAGTCTTTATTATTGTTTTATTTTAGTTCTGCCTTACACCAAGAAGAAACTACAGACAAACAACAGGACAGATCCTTTGCACAAGAGAGCCTTCGGTAAGGAGGAGCACTCACTCAAATTGTGGTAGGCAAAATTTTAAGCCATGCTGCCTGTGGAAAATGCATCCTTAATGCTTCTTTATTTCACTTCTTCCAAAGTAATGGTGGTTAGGATTAAATGCATTCCACTTTACCTTAACCCTCAGGGTTTGCTAGCTAATTCAAATGCTGATGTTTTTACTCAGCCTGCTACATGCACACAAAATGGGAAACTGGCTAGTTTAAGGAGGGCTGGCTAGCTTTAGCAAAACTTGAGTAAGGTCAGAGCATCATCCTCCAGCAAATACTGTAGTAGTTAATTAAAAATTGCTTGCAACTTGAAGATGGTAACATGCCCACATGTTTCAAGTTTCTATCTGACAGAAAGCAAAATGCAATGAAAGGCATGTAATGGTTTAAATAATTTGGTGTGTTTCCCCAAATGTAGCACGTAAATCACCTCGGCACATAAATCTAACATACAATAAATGAAACTTAATTACTTTACTCGGCTGGTGTGTGGGTGTTACATTTAGATTGTTGATTTTGCTCTTAATGATTTAAGAATATCTTACTGTTGTTTAGATCAACAACTGTTGTTGGGATTATTTTTGTTATTCACAGATAAGTGGATGTTACCCCTGTGCTTTCATGGGTCCTTCAGTCTTTGTTTGTTTGCGTGTACAGACACAGATACACAATTTAATTTGCCCAAGCTTGCAAATAGCTGACACTCTGCTGAAAAGTCAAGGACCTTGGCAACAACCTGCCAGGATACTTGATTCCACAGACAGTGTAGGAGAGATATCAAATGGAAGTGTTTGGGAAACCAACCAAGCAACCAGCCACACTTTAAGGCATGTCCTAACAGAAGAGGTAATTCATTGACTAATCCATAATATATAGTCTTTTCTATTTTGAAATGTTGTGATCTTTCTGGAATGAAGAATTTGAAGGATTAGCTGGGTGCCTGGAGTTTTCAGCTGAATATTCATGAGGCATGGCCTTCCCTGACTGTTCTTCCCACCCCCTGCTGTAGCTGAATTTCATCTCTTTATTTAGCAGAATGAGAGTATCTGCATTGCATTAGGAGAGCTAGAAAAACATTGTGTATCAGCTGGACAAGGAAAGTGTGAGGTCTCCGATGCATCAGCATTATTCTCAAGAAGTTTGTTCTGTCTTCATCTGTTTCTCAAAAGTGTAAATGTAGACTAAGCTGCAGGGAAACGCAGTGCTGGGATAAGGAAAATGTTCCAAGTTCAAACTACTTCAATCAAGGAGTTTTCTTGGGGTAAAAGTGAAAAGTGAGACGATGTGGACCTTTTTGTTGTGTGGATATGAGATAGGATGATCTGGTAAGTGGTATATGGCCTAGGTCCAGGTTATTTTAAATACTATCTCTCTCTACAATCATCTGGAGAGGGCCTTCTCTGTGTCCCAGCACCCTCTCAAGCATGTTTAGTGGGAACAAAGGAGAGGACCTTTTCAGTGGCTGCTCCCAGACTCAGGAACTCCCTCTCAAGAGAGACCAGAATCCCTCTAGCCTTCTGCAAGCCGGCCATTTATTTATTTATTTAGTTCCAGTATTTATATACCACCTTTCTCACCCCTGGTCAAGACATATCTCTTCTGCCAAGCATTTGCAGATGGTTGAGAGGCAGGCTGTGTAGGTGGTATTTGGGGGGAACGGCAATTCTAAATTTATTGTATTTTAACCCACACACTAATATTTAGGATTTAAATTTTTTGGCATTGGTTTTTAAAAACCTGTTCAATTATGTTATATCAGTGGGAGTGTTCCAGATGTACATTGGTGTTGTGGTGGCAATAGTAGCTCTTACACTCATATGTGGTAGCACTGCCCTCAAGACTTTTAGTTTTGGTGTAAAGTGTTTGTTGAAACTGGGATAACCCCTGACTAATTTATAGCATCTATCTCCCTTTGGAGATAAAATAGTGAAGAGTAGAGACATCACACTGGCAAGGAAGGTCCGCATAATTAAAGCAATTGAATTCCCTGTAGTAACCTATGGATGCAAGAGCTGGACCATAAGGAAGGCTGAGTGAAGGAAGATAGATGCTTTGAACTGTGATGTTGAAGGAAAATTCTGAGAGTGCCTTGGACCACAAGAAGATCAAACCAGTCCATACTCCAGGAAATAATGCCAGACTGTTCATTGGAGGGAAGGATATTAGAGGCAAAGATGAAGTATTTTGACCACATAATGAGAAGACAGGAAAGATTTGAGAAGATAATGATGCTGGGAAAAAGGGAAGGAAAAAGGAAGAGGGGCTGACCAAGGGCAAGATGGATGGATGGTATCCTTGAAGTGACTGGATTGACCTTGAAGGAGCTGGGAGTTACTACTAACAGGGAGCTTTGGCGTGGGCTGGTCCATGAGGTCACGAAGAGTCGGAAGCGACTGAATGAATAAACAACAAAACATCTCCCTTTGGGTCTTTCATCCCTGTTTATAGATACTAACAAATTGATTACACAGAAAGTGGATCTGTTGTTGCTGTTCAGAAGTATAACATTATTGTCAAAACTGGAGAGATTAAAATGATCTGCTCAAATTTAAATCCGAGAAACAAATTATATAACAATTTTTAATGTAAATTCCTTCAGAAATTATGATGGACACAATTAAATTTTTACACTCTTTGGCAGTCATTTCTGTTTTAAGCTAGTAGCAGTTCAGAGGAATTTAGTATACTAACTCCTCATATAAATGTATGAAAGGATCTGGTGCATTAACAATTAGCTTATATACATATGTAACCTTTTTATAGAGTAATGTGGGAAAACATCATGAATATAAGTTTTGCATGCAAAGTTTTTATTTTTCCTTGTATATATTGAAATGGTCTTTTTATTGGTTTCTCAGAAGGCCAGAAGGCAGTAGGAGGAAATTAAGTATGTGAGGGTTATGTAAATGGCATAAGATTTACAGGGGTGGATGCAGGGATGGGAATCATGGCATAGGTCAGTGATGGGCAACCTTTAGAGCTTGGTGTGTCAAAACTCGCCAGAAAAACTGAGCATAACTCAGGTGGGGTGTCACTTTGAGAAAAAAAACAATATAACAAAAATATATTATTGTAATATATAACTGTATTTAACAAACCAAAAATACTAATTATTTAACTTACCTGCTTTTTTCTATAATTCCATATATCTCGGCATTATAGAAAAATGCTGGTGCAGGAGCCAAGGATGAAATGTCCTTCTCGGGGTGCGGCCCCATTCTTCTGTGTATGCAGCCAAATGAGATTGCGTGTCATCAAAAATGGCCACGTGTGTCAGTGCTGACACACGTGTCATAGGTTCGCCATCATGGGCATAGGTGCAGGGTGAAGCATGTTGGAAGAGGAGAGGGAGGGGGAAATGGATTTAGGACTGGTGCAAAGAAATGAGGTTTTGTATGTCAAAAGGACAGGGAAGAAGGGTGGTAGGAGGGGCAGCATTAGCGTGCAGGGAGGGAAGCATGGCTGAAGTACAAGGTAAGGCAAGGACACTAGTAGGATGTCTTAACTCTTTCACTGTTTGAAAGTGAATTCAAACAATGAAAGGGTCAAAGGTGAACAGTGCAGTGGCAGAATGCAAGCGCTTACTTGTCTCGAGGCAGCCAATTCCTGGATGCTACTCTGATGTATCCCAGGGAAAGCCAAAAGAAGATAAATAAAGGCTTATTGTAGTAGGTGCTAGATCAGGGGTGTCCAAATCATTTTTACTGAGTGCCACATCAGCCTTAGAGTTACCTTCAAAGGGCCATTCATAAGTGTAAGACTGCATGAATGTAACTATATTGCCCTGGCACTGGATGCCTCGTGGGCAACATGATGTGGCAGACTGGATTTGGCCAATGGGCCTTGAGTTTGACACATATATGTTAGATGTAAGATTTTCTTTTTGGAGAGTGGATTCAACCAATTGTATGAACAAAATTATACAAAACTAAAGAAGTTAAATCAATTTGGAAGGCTAATAATATGACATGGCAAATTGGATGTGGTTAACACATGTGTGCTAGTCTTAGATAGACTGTAGACTTGAAGTATTGCCTCACTCAGCAGATTATTAATGCACGTGATTGGTGTGAAAGTTAAACAAAGTATATTAAGCTAAATTTACTCCAGTTATAATAGAATGTTTAATTTCTGTGGAAGAACTCACAACTTGCTTCCCCCTCTTCTTACAATTACTACAGTTTGACCCAACTTTGCTTTGCATTTCTTTCTTACTACGAGATAGTAGAGTTGCTTTTGGATGTTTCCCAGTAATATTTCATGGATCTCTTTCTTGTTTGTTTGTGTTTTTCCATAAGTGAAAAACAGATGATGATAAAACCGCAAGGATGAGAACAATACTATAAGAGTTGCCTATCCATGAGAAAAAGTTTTTGGATTGTGCACATATATAGTTATGTCTTATTAGTGTTGTTTCCCATTCTTCTTTGTGTGTATTTACCTTCAAGTTGAATGTCGACAAAAATAAGGTTAAATTATTTGTGTAAAAAATATTGTTGTTAAGATGTTCTAAGGCTGTGCAACTTGGACACTACTTAAAAAAAAAACCCTCAACTTTCATTGCTCTTTACTATAAAATTGACAATATGAAAACTGAAGTGAGTTCCTGCAAATATAATGATCATGTAGAAAGTGAATTGCGGTAACTTAGTTATGAGACAAGTAACATCTGCTGAAATTCCCTCTTCTAAACAAGTATTAATGGTAAAAGAGCCCCTTCCATTTTCACACCGGCATCCCGTTCCACTTCTCCTGGCCTGAAATGGGATGGAGAGGAAACTGTATCTTAGTTCCTCAAATCTGGGTATTTAATTGGTATGCTGTTCTAATTTGCATATAATGCAAATTGCACACATTATTTGTTGCTTTTTTCCCCTTACCACTGCATTTTAGCATCCTTCCCATTTTTATGCTAACCATCAATCTGAGAAAACCAGTACAGCGTAACATTTGAAGTGCTGAAACAGGGAGAGCTAAGTTCAAATCCC